GTGGCACATCACATGACCGCAGGATGCTGCAATTGTAATTGGGAGCCGATTGTCAAGCACCTAATTCGCTATCACTTGACCCTGGGAACATTGCAACGGCTGCAGTTTGTGATTAGTTGCCTTGGTTCAGAGCCATCGTAACTTTGAATGTCGTGAAATGAGTGGTCGTAACCCAAGGATTACCTGTAATTCCATTCATTCTTTTTTTCTTCTTCTAGGTAATCGATGCCTGCCACAAACAGAGGCATTGCTCACCTTCCGGCTTCCTGGGAAACATCTGCAGCAGTGCGGATGTCCTCTCTTGTATCTTGTATTTGCTAAATCAGGGTTTTGTCCAGCGCCAGGAAAATTTTCCACAACTATTACAGTGTGTTTGTGTGGATATTCCAACCCCAGCAGTGCCAGGGAACCAGCCTCAAGTAGTATTTCAGACTATGCAAATCAAAAAAGTGCCCAGCATGCCTTGTATGGAGAAGAAACAGACATTTTCTACATTTAGGTAAAAGTGGTTCCTGCTATGTGTGTGTGTGTGTGAGAGAGAGAGAGAGAGAGAGGAGACAAGCTAGGAAGGTAAGCCTAAAAGGTGTTTATAAAAGCACTGATTTCTGGTTAGTATGGCTGTAGGAAGTTTCTTGTGTTTGTCCTTCCTACTGGTTTTCTACATGTAGCACTGAAGCTAAGGAGAAGAACAGAACCAAATGTTGCACAGGACAGTTTTCCAATAATACATTTTTTTTTCCTTCCTGAAAAGGCTGGCTCTGTTCTTCCACTGCCAGGCTGCAGTTGGGGGGACATGACCTCAAGAATAATTCAACACATTTTTTTTCTACAGCCTGAGCAAGGTGGCTCGATTCTAAAGGCCAGACAGTTCAAAACATTCTCTCCCCCCGCCCCGCCGCCCACATGTATCTGCCTATTTCTAGACCAGGGGTGTCAAACTCAAGGCCCCGGGGGCTGGATAAGGCCCCGGGGGTGGGGGTGTTCTTAAATCTGGCCCACGGGGCTGGCCTGGAAATAGCAAAGGACCGGCCCACGATGCCTCTGGGAACCAAAATGGGGCACAGGGGGCCACACGGCCCGTTTTTGGCCTAGACAGCCGCCCCATTTTGGCCAGCAAAGTGCTACAGGAAGGAGAACAGGCCACGGTGTGTGTGTGTGTGTGTGCACATGCCCACCCCATTTTCACCAGCAGGGTGCTGTTTTGGATGGCAGGGAATCCGTCCCATCTCCCCCCCCCCCATGCCCGGCCAGCCTGCGGAAGAGAACTACATTCCACTTCCGCCCTCAAAGAAATCCGGTTCGACACCCCTGTTCTAGACTGTTGGGTTGTCACAGGATGTAGTTGTAACCTCCTTGTTATATGATGGATGGATGGTATCTTTAAAGTCTTTGATGCATGACTCTTGCCTTAAAGCAATGAACTTTTTCTATTTATTTGCAGTCCTTGTCAACTTTACAAGGAGTGTGTTTTTGTAATCCCTGTTTATTTAACTAGAAAAAACACTCTTCAGTACTTAGTAAAGAAGGATTTCTATTATCACCTGGGTTTCTTATTTAGACCCTTGCATCCCTGGCCAATAATAGTTGATAAAACTTGGATGAAAGGAAGTTTTAGATCAAAATAAAAAATGAGATACCTGTTCCATTTCCTTAACCTTGAAATTAAGAAAATTATTTTTTTAAAATTATTTTATTTGTGGCATATGATTTCAGATGGTTTACCTACTTGCATTTTGCGCATTATGAGCAAATGGTTGCTTATTTCACTATGACAACTAATTGGTTGGGGACTCTCTATTTTTTCCCCTTACAGCAGTAGATTGCTTGAGATGTAAACATGAGAAATGGAAGTTCCTGCTCAGCAATATTTATGATAACATTTCCATGGTTTATGTGCTGAGCTACTTAATTATCTAGTGCAGCTGCCTTCCACTTCAATTCTTTTCTATGTGTTATCCAAAGTCTTGGAAATGCATCAATTGCCATATTCCAAATAAAGACAAATTTGGCAATATACAGAATGTGGCATTTTGAATTACAGCCAGAATTATGCATGATTTAGCATAAACTAGTAAGCCCACTTCCACCTTCAATAAATTAAAAACCACAAATACGATCTACTTTACTTTGTATGCTCCAGGGAACCTTTTGCACATATTCCCATTTTCCACAATCACAAACTGGAAAGGCAATTCTTTAGATGGTGGAAGAACCGTAAGTATTTAACATTTATAAAAAGCAACTTTCAGCTGTGCATATATGATTAATTCTTGTGCGGCCCACAGACCTTTTTCATTTCGTATCTTCCCAACTCAGTTGTACTTTTCTTGACACACTTTTCCTTCCTTTGCAAATGGTTTTTAGCAATATGAAGTTCCACCACAGAATAGATTGGGCTAAGAGGAAGCCAAAAGGGACTACAAGTGATTGGAGATTATGATGATTTAATGTAAAAGACTAAATCTTTGGCCTTGGTGACCAACCCAGATTGGATCCTGCAATATTATCCTGGGACATGTATATTTGCCTTCATTTGTAGTGCAAAATCCTCCAGGATTTGATTTTAGAAAGAAAATACTGTAGGCGGCTTGCCTTCAAAAAACAGTTTCTACCTCCCTTGCCATACAAATTGTATGCTGTGTAAGGGGTAAAATTCAAATACCAGATATGTGTTTTATTACCTTATACAGTATTTTTTTACATCAATAATGATAGTGATAGCAGGAATAGGCTGCATTTTTCTCCAAGGAGGACTGCATTCATTTGGCAATAGAACTGCAACCTGCGCAGGCAAAGTATAATCCAAAGATTGGAACATCCTGCTCCATCCCCCTTTCTTCTCTTTCTCTCCACTCTGCCCAGAGAGACAGCCTGCTACCCCATCAGTTTGATGAGTCAATTATGAAAGGAGGCTTGTGTATCTCCATAGACATAGATTTCCACCATTGTTGCAATGATTTCATTACACTTTTCAGTACTGTGTAAAACTTAATTATTATTCATGAAAGTTATATGCTGCCTGACTCCCAATGATGCTTGATTTTATAGATCTACAACAGTATGTAGGTCTGAGTCCACTGAGCTTCATAAAAAGGCTTTGCTTTAGCTCTTAACAATCCATTCAGAAATTGCTGTTGAATTGTAATTTTAAAGGTAGAAAATATTAAAACATGGAAAGCAGCCACATTAATTGTAATTATTGTCCTGATTCTGCCAATTCTGATCGTGATCCTGTCATGTCTTGACATATAGTTCAAGACTAAACACCCTCATCCTGGTTCATAAACAAGCAGACAAGGAAATATAATGGGGTAAATATAGTCATTCACTTCTGTCAAGAGCTGCTAGGATAACAGGCTATATATTTTTACTGTATTCCCAGTCAATGAATAGGGATGCCTACATAGGCACAGTAGGTGGGCATAGAGTTGTTTAACTGCACACAAAAGACCTAAAGCTGCCAGTTGAATTGTGCTGTGTTCTGGTTGGCATTCCCCACCACCACTTTCACGCCTGTCTTAAATTCTCCATATGTTTTAGACTGTATTTGAGTGGGAGGGGGAAGCCTCAAGTATTCAAGCAATTCCAAAAGTAAGGACCTCCTAACTAGCGAAATCCTTTGACTGACGCCTTGTGCGTCTAAATCACGAAGAACAAGATGCAATTCCGAACAGAATAAAATCAAGTTGATGCTCTCGGTCACAATGGTACCAGCATTAATTTATTAAAATTAATCCAGAAAGCAACCTTACATTAACAAAAATAGAATCTTGTAAAAAATGGGATTTACCCACCATCCCTGCTCTCCTAACCACGAGCAGCTGCATTCGCCAGGCAGGCGCAATACCACAGTTTAGGTCTCTTAAGTTCGGTAGGACACACTTTCAAGGCAGGGGACGTTGGTTTGGCAGTACTAGTGACACAAGCTCCAGGAAGGTAAGACGTCCTGGCCTTTGGAGCCTGCATGATTCAGGGATAAGAGAATGGATGGGGACATGAGTGAATCCAACAAGGGAAGGAAAAGAGGCACTAGTAGCTGCCTTCCGACACTCTTATTTTCGCGAACTCACTTGTTCGATTTCTCCTGATCAATTTCAGCAATTTTAAAGGTCTGTTACTGCACATCATTGCACCTGACCTTGCCAGTGGATCTCATCCTTGCCAGCTTCATCAGTCTGCCAGTGCCACAGATCTATTACAACACCACAGCAAAGGTGGAACTGGATACAACTGGTGGATGTAGCAGCTACCCTGAGACCTGTCCGGGCAAAGTGCTGATCTGGGGAAAGGGGGAAGGAAGCACTTCTTACTGGCTATAAATGGAGTGTATTGATTCATAAGCCGGTTCCATCACCCAAGAGCACCTTTTTCTTCATCTGAATAGAGGTGGGAGGGGCCCAGCTGGCCCCACCACATCCACCTCGCTCTAGATCAGGGGTGTCCAACCTTGGCAACTTTAAGACTTGTGGACTTCAACTCCCAGAATTCCTCAGCCAGCAAAGCTGGCTGAGGAATTCTGGGAGTTGAAGTCCACAAGTCTTAAAGTTG